GGATAGAAGGGTAACTGCCCAGAAATGACATGAAACTACACAAACAGCCAACAACATACAGTAAGGAACTCTATCCCACCTAAAAGGGTCACCGTGTGGCTACCAAATGGTCCAGCAGAAAAAACTGTTTTCAACTTATCTAGCAGTTGGGAGCAAGGGACTAATAAACAGGTGAAGTCAGCAATTTGGTGAACAAAATCCTGCCCATTTTTGAAATCATAATTTCTCCCTTGGAAACACAATAGCAGGTGCAAGCCAACAACTGACTACATGTGTGAGGTTCCGAGAAAAGACAATTAGTGTGTATTAATGTGCAATCACAGTGTGGTAGTTATCTCACTTCCCTGAGCAGGGAAGAATTTTGTCTGCTAATCTAATGTCAGTCTAACATTTTGTCTACAGGGGGAATTTTGTCTGCTAATCTAATGTCAGTCTAACATTTCCTTGCAAAAGAAGTATCATTAACCTGAAGAACATAGCAAAATATACTGTCTGCAAGACACTTTGGGGTGTGATTCTGAAACAGAGGACAAAACCAGTGGTTATCAGTAAGAATCACTGTTCTCATCATAGTCATTGATTTGCAAAAAAAACAAAACAAAACAAAGGATGAAGAATCTGTGTAGCTGCAGAAGGCACAAAAAGTGCCCGACATACATGATGCAACAGTGGTCTCATTGCGCAATCTCAAAGCACCTGGACCAGCTCTAAGAGTATGAACTGGTCCCACTCGTGCCCCGTGTTGAGAATCTACATCTCAGCACTTAATGGGAAAAAAAAAAAAAAACAACACAAAAATAAACCAACAACCAAACAAACAAACAAAAAAAAGCCAAACCAACTTATTTAACAAAGAAAAAGGGAAATTCAATCTGCATAACTTTATGCCAATGAGGCCTATTTTGGTTAGCAGGTAGCTGGTTACTGATGGACATCACTGTCTCAGACAAGTACAAACCAGGCTAGGGTAGCCTAGCAACCTCATGCAAAAATTACTCTCAGAAAGGGGATTCTCATTGCAACGTTGCCACAGATGCACTATCAATTGCAAGCTGAATCGTATTTGTCATTTCACGGAGGCTCGATCTCCCCTCTCCCGCCTGAGCTAAAACCCTGTGTTTGGGCCGGTACTGTCATACATACACACCAAGAAATGCTCTTCCATCAGAGACTAAATACAAATAAATACAAATAAAAGTCTAGGGGCAAACTTTACCATGCTAGGGATAGAGGAAACAGTGCTATTTGTATATGTCTGTTGCAGTTGGATTCCCAGCTAAACAGAAGGCAAGAAAAATCCACACATCTTGTATACTGCTGACTGTAATGTATGTCCTTGTTGCCTGGATACCTCTAGTGAATTACCGAGCAAGGGTACGAGTCTTTTTCCTGGTAAGTATTAAATAAAAAAATCCCAACCTCCTACTCTGTAACAGGCTGAAGATGCACATGGAGGCTTCCTGCGGCTGTGCCAGCTGAATGCCAGAAAGAGACAGATCAAGCCTTGAGAATTTTAAATCTTGTGGGTTGCCATGCCATGTTATGAACTAAATCTCATACAATTCATCACCCAAGTTGCAGAAAAATAGTTCGAGAACTCAAAATAATGAATTCTGTCATTTCCAATAGAAGTGTGAAGGGAGAATTATGAATGAACCTTTTAAAAACACGTATGTGGAGGGAGATTGCCCTTCTACAAAATGAAAGCAGCAGGCTTCTATTTAAATGGCCCAATCCTGAAAGCGAGACCTTTCATTTTCAATTAAATTAAATTGACAATTGAGAAAGGTTTGAAAATGTTGTTGGAGCCCTTCAGTTTGATAGATTTCAGCTCTGACATTACACACAGCATTCTGACCTGATTTTCAGAGGGTGCTGGTTTAAAGTTGAGAATTTGAAATGAAAAATATTTGATTCAATCAAAGCTGTTGCAAGACATTTAAACGCCTTAATCATCAGAAATGCGTTTTCCGTGTTTTTTCATCATGATACATTATATAATGCATCGTTCATTAAGATACATTAGAACCTAAGAGCCATGCCTTCCCACAACATTATGTTATTTTGTGTTGCAGTGATACTTTCACTGAGAAATTAAATTTTATTAGAACACATTACCATGTACAGCAGGTAACTATCTACCACAGAACTAGAAATTTTCTTTATATTCTAAGGCAGTCTATGTTACTAACCTACATTACCAGAATTATTTAATATTACATAGTCTGTATCAACATGACTCAACATAGGCAAACCAAACTAATTTTTAGGCTTTGTATACACTTTTAAAGACACAAATGAAAGACTTTAGAACAGCTGACCTACTTCCTTAAATAAAAAATGAGAAGAAAAAAATCAGAGAAAACTTCAAAGATCACGAGCAACAGATGAACCCTGAAATCACTGAGGAGTAAGGCAGAGAGAGATCCCTGCATTGAAAGAGTCCATTTATCAATTAATATATATCAAGTACATTACCCCTGCTACTTAACAGATATAAAAGCACAATCTGCTCAGCTCAGAACCCCATTATACCATATATACCACCAATATACAGTATTAAATCAGTTGTGATTATTATCGTTGTTATAATGCTCCATTCCCAAATAAGCAAAAGCAATCAGACAAAAAGTTGGTTTTTAACATCACACGGGTTACCACACTACTAGTTTTGATTTCCACTTTTTTTTTTTTTTTTCCCAGAAAGTCTCTTTTAATCAGTGACCTGCTAAGAAGGATCAATATTTTCCGAAGTAATGTCTTGTTTCTAGTAGCCAGTGGAAATTGATGTGCGTGATGCAGATTTGTACATAACACCAATGACATGTGCTGGACACCATTTTTCCACCCCAGACAAAAAAAAAAGCTTGAAGAGACAATATGATCAGTCTCTTGTAGTATTAAGTCCATATGCACAATATAAATTCTGCCGCAAAGTTTGAAGCAGAAGCTGTGTCAAACACATGGATCGAATTCTGTTCTTGCACTACTGTAGCTGTTTGGTAAAGTCTGTGGAATCAAACAGGACTTCATTTAGAGACTCAAATTTGACCAAACAATACTAGGCTATGTCTCGGGGAATCGGTGTAGCAAAGATGTGTTTATAGTAGAATACTTTTGTTGGGAAGCTGGCCTGGAGAGTATTTAATACGCAAATTAGCAATAAACTTCAACTGGCCATCCAAGGAACTGGCTATTATAGCCAGGCCACAGGAATCCCATTTTCCTCATTGTACCTCCTGTGTTCCTCTCTGGTGGGAGGCAGGACAGAGGGCAGTGGTAACTCCAAGCCACCTGAAGTCTTCCCCAGTACACTGCCTAAGGGTACTTAAAATAGCTGTCTTGCAAATTCAAACTGGACCTTTGAAATGCTCTAGTTCCACACTACTGCTACTAAGGATAAAATTTTGAGATAGAGATATTCCCCTAGTCATATGAGAGAAGCTGCCAAGAAAGTTATGATCTGTATTAAGGAAACACAAACTTTGTATTTATTGGAAATAGGTCTAAATGTGTAAAATTAAACAGTAACACCATGAACAAATGTAACAGCATCCTGATCTTGCCCTACACCTGATTCATTAATTTATTAATTAATTAATTTATTTATCTAAAATATATGTATGAAGTGAGCCTTAGACAGCCTGGTGAACTTCAATATGAAAGAAGGTCAGGGAGATGAGTACTAAGCAATGGAAATTGTGCTTTTAAAATTCTTTTTTCCTGTCAGTGAGTCAGACTGAAAGATAATGAGAAGTGTGAACTGTGTGACTAATGAGCATTTTATCCGTTTTTCCCTGATCATATGACTATAAAAAGAGGAAAAGAATGAAATTACCAAAATATTGTTCATAACATTTGAAAATCACCTGCATGTTTATAAATGTTTTATAAGCATCCTATCTAAGTTGTAAGAACTTCTGTTCTTAAGGAATATGGGGAATTACATAGCACTTTATAGGTTTTTTTAGCACTGAAGCAACTCAGGGACTTTGACAGCTGTGTAGCATAGTCAGTCTTGTCCACTCAGTTTTAATGCACTCAGCACAAGCTAACAAAGATGGTACTACAAAGTACTGTACAAGAAAAGGCCTACAAAAGGAAGGTCCAATTGAACACAGACATAGTTCACTATGGAACAGTATTCATTGTTGCAAATGTGAAAACTGGCTTTGAATAGTGTTATCGTTACAACCTCCTGTCCACTTCCCAAAATGCTTGACTGTACCTCCTATTTCAGTGTACAGGAACAGATGTTCAACTCACAGGTGCGAGTGACATCTGAAAGTTGGCTTTCATCAAAGGTACCCTGTAAACAGCGCACCTGCAACAATGCAAAAAAACACTGGAAACACTGCTGGGTCCACCTGCAAAACCCACCCTTTGCTTGCTTTCCCCTTTTCATGTTAGATTTTTTCACTCTGATAATTATATAATATGTATATAAGTATTTCAGGATTCTCTATCAAGGCATCCGGCACCAGCCAAGCGCTATTACTACAGGCGGCCCTACAATAACAAATCTGCACAGGTGATTCTTAGGGCAAAGAAATAAATAAGGGAGGCAAAACTCAAAAGACTTTAGAAAATCTTCCTAAACCCGGTGCAAAGTCGTGACTTCGGCCTCCAAGGATTCACAAATGACAGAGCACAGCCCCAGGCTGCAGCGCGACTGGTCGCCGGGCCACGGGCCGGGGCCGTGGCGGCTCGCTGGGGCTAAGTAGCGCGCACCAGAGCAGTGCGCAGCGGGACTGGGCTGCGCTGGGCGGCCGCGTCCGGGACACGCACCCGTGACCCCAGCCCCAGGGCCCGCGGCTGCGCCCGAAGTGGTGCGTTTCTTCTGAAGCGCCACAGGCGCTGACAACAGGGGCACGTGACCAGGCGTACTGGGGGGAGGAATATATATTATATATACATTAAAAAATAAAATATGTATAACATGAAATGTCCCCGGGGCGGCACCTGAACGCTTTCCCACGAGCAGGGTCAACTTTCCCCACCTTGCACGCCTGCCCCCTCCGGCGCGGCGGGCTACGCAGGGTGCGCGGGGCGGTGTCACCTGCCGGCCGTCGGCGCCTTCAGCTCCCGGGAACTTACCGGCGGGGCCACCCCGTCCCTCGGCCTCCGGCGGCGCGGTCGCGGCTCAGGGAGACGGCATCCCCCGGGCTTCCTGCCTCCCCGCACCCCCCGGCTCCCCTCGGGCGTCCCGGCGCTGGGCTGCGTGACTTGTTTGGTGCGGCTGGCACCGTCTTTACCATATGCTGTAGAGGGAAGGAGGAGGAGAGATCGTGTGTATGTGGAGAGCGGGGAGGGGGGAATTAACTTTGCTCAATGGCGACAGGGCAGCAGCCTCAGCCCAAGCATCAGATCGATTTACTAAACAAACTGAAACGTGGGTGGGGATGTTAAACAGTAACCAGCAGCCTCAATGAAAACTGAAAGCCGCTCCTGCCAACACAGACTGGCCCTGCAAGCAGCTCGCGCTCCGCCGAAAGGCGGGGCAGGCGCTCCCGGCCCGGCCCAGCTCAGCCCGGCCCCTCTGGCCTGCGGCTGGCGGAGCTTACGGTATCGCGGAGGGGCTTTGCCCCGCAGGCCCGGTGCCCCGACTCCGCAGCAGCGCCCCCGGCTGCCGGGACGCGGAGCTGCCGGTTCCTGGGCTGCCCGCGCCGGGCTGCCCCTGCCCCGCTGTTTCCCCGGGAGAAACACCCCCAGGGCTGCCCTGCGCTGCCCCCGGGGGGCGAAACCAGCTGCCCCGCAGGGGCCCCAGCTAATCGTGACCGCCCCCCCGTGGGGCTGCCCCTTCTGTCCTCAGCTCTCTGTCCTGTTCGGTGGACACAGATTTACACCCAGACCTCAAGGATGTCGCTCCCTTTGCTGCACTGAAGCTGTCGCGGGGAGGGGGAGCCCCCCTATTTTAGTTAGGCGCCCGGTGGTATAGAGAAACAGGACCAAATACAGGGATCGCTGCAAAGTCTGGGATCCCTGCGCTAAAGACAATTCGTCGGCCTCGTAGGGAAGGTCGTGACACAAGGAAGTATTCATAAAATAATAATTGTCACTGTCCTCCGATATTGAACATTCACAGACTCGAAACAATCATTAACGCCTCGCCTATGGTATCACCAGCTCACACCCACGGAGGCATCAGGAAGAAAGGAAATAATTCAAGACACTGAAGGTGTGGTGTTGTCACTCCAAATATCATCCCGGGGGGGCCTTCTCGGCGCCGTGAGAGCAGGCTATTTGGAAGAAGTTCCCATGTAAGAATGACTAAAGAAAGTCCCGGTGAAAAGGGACTGCCTCGCGTGGGTGCGTGAACATGCCTGGCTCCATGGCACGCCCGTGGCAGTGATTTAATGACACTCTCGCAGGAGAGCTCTACACAGGAAGGAAATTGAAAGAAAAAAAAAAAATATGAAAAATGAAATGTTCCCTTCCTCCAGTCTCTGAACACGACTGGTGACTGATTGGTTTCCCCAGTGAGAAGATCAGCGAGTTTCCTCTACTTTCGTATCGGTGGTACCTCGCCATGCTGCAGTATCTCGTTAAACTGGCCAATTCCTCATTGCCAGAGTTTGACAGTGGAAACTCTGGATCCAGTTCCTAGGGGCTTTCGATTGTCCTTTGGAAGAAACAAAGGGAAATTTGCTTCACAATTCCCCACCATTACGAACCATTAATAACCACTGGAAATAACTGCCCAGATAGCCACAGGGAAGGTGTAAATATAACCAAAGTCCTCCGGTGTTATTTCGAAGGTGGTTTTTAAAAGACCAATAAAAGTCGCCGAGGAATACTTCTTCCTGAGGAGTTCTTGCCCATCTTCTGCCGCAGATAAAATACTGCAGGCAAGGGCAACGCTGACAGTGAAATAAACGTTACTGCTGCTGGCTACAGCGCGCCTCAGAGCAATCCGCAGGCGCAAATACCCGGTGTAAAAAGTGTCACTTACACGGGGGCTGGTTTTTACCCCTCTTCTGAGCATCTCGGCCATATGCTGTGGGCTAATAACCAGTTTTCTTAGGTGACTACAGAGAACTGGTGAGAGTTTATTTGCTGTTTTAATTAGAATAAAGTTAGCATGGTAAAGCCATGTATGTGGTCATCTGCAACCACTGTATTTCTACACTTGCGTCTGGACGCGGGCAGATTTGATGAAGGGGGGCCTCCGAACGTTTTGATTCCAATCACCTCAGCATATAGAAACATTATTATTATTTCTGTGGGAAAGGTACTGCTTCGTGCCAAAAGCAAATAGCTTACAGAATAGTAAATGGCATTTCTTTCACGTGTGGGGAATATTTGAGCGTATTTCTCATCACATAAGGCCACGTTTGATTTAACCTTAATGTAACTAGTGGTTTTCATTTCGACTTCAACGTTTCCTTAAATGGTTTTTATGAAGTGGTTGCCTCTTTTAGTTATCAACAACGTTTTTGAGGAAGAGTGGGGGGCAGCATAGAATCCCTTGACGGTCACCTCGCTGCCAGTACTACCTCTGAAGCAGCATTTTCACGTGTCACCTCCACGATGAAATCACGCGACAGCCCGAAGAGCGGTGAATTGCCCCGGCGCCCGTGCCCGGGAGTCCTTCCTTCTTCCCCCAGGGGTGGGGGCTCCCGCCCCATCCAGTCCTGCTCCCCCGCTTCGTCCGCTGAGGATGGAACACCAAGACACTGGGGCAGCGGCGAGGACCCTCTGCCCAGGATTCCTGAAATCACTGGCTGGGCCATCAAGGACAGGAGATGCCCTTTTTGCTTAGCACGTCTCTAACTACATCCCGGAAGGCAGAGATAGGAGACAGGACTGAGGTTAGGGGCAGAAACCTACGTTGCCTTTTGCAGCGGAGGTAACGAATATTTCCAGGCGTTGACCTCAAGGGGTAAATCCCAGACAATACTGTTTCTGTGTCAATTTGGAGAAGCCCCTTTAAGCACCTGGCTGCCTCTGGCTGTGGCCGCAGCCCCTTTGTCCCCGCGGGCGGCCAGTGCGGTACGCTCCCGCAGGGCAACTCTCTGCCACCTCTGATCGGGTCTCCCCTTCACAGACCTGCTCCAAGCAGCGTTTGTCCCCCCTCGCCCGACAGATTATTCGGAGAGAGAAGGGGAGCTGCCGGGGCTGACCCTGCCGGCGGCGGGGCCGGGGCGGGCAGCCGCTCATCGCGGCAATCCGCCCGGACTCCCCTCGCTTCATTCCGGTATCATTAACCCGCCGGTGAAGCAACTGTTTGTGTGCCCTCCCTCCCTTTCTCGCTCTTCCTCCTGTGGGCTGCTTTTTCCCTGTTACTGATCCATCCCTTGTAAATCATTTATGGGGAACCAGGCACTTGTCTCCTACCAGGAGCTTCTCTTGAAAAACTTTCCCATCTTCAGGCAAGCGCCTTTTCTTTGTTAACACGACTGATAAAGGACCCCGACGTGCCTTCAAAAAGCATCTAAACGGCCGCCGTGAACCATAGTCACTTAGGGTCACGGGCTGCTTCTGGCTTTAAAAGCACAATACAGGAAACGATCAGGACCAAACCGGTTTAAAGAAAAGCTAGTTTCATGTGGTTACCTGAAACCGTACATGGGAAACGCGGTTTAATTTTACAGGTTCTGGCATGGAGCGTTAGAGCTGGCTTCTGCAGAGCCCTTTCCCCCTCCCCCTGATCAGACAGCACCTGGCATTCTGCTGCTAACTAATGTCTCCGTGTTTCCTTGCCTAGAAAAACAGGGTCGGAGAGAAAGTGCGTTTTTCAAAAGAAAATCAGAAGCTGTAACCCCCTTAAAACTCGGAATCCTGAGATTACACCGGCACCACTAGGCTAGGAACCGATTTCAAGAGCTGGAACATTAGAGACTCTGCTTTCTTTAGAGGTTCTCTGGCTAAACTATTAATTGCCAGGATTTCATGAAAGATTTTCAGACTTTGCAATCATTTATGATCCGTGCAATAAAAACTCGCTGATATGGGCAGACTGGTTCAAGGTGTAATGCAAAGATGTATTAGGTGCCCTTGGCAACTATCTGTGGGTGCTGTTTGTATTCTCCGAACACGCCCTTCACTGCAATGAACATTTCTGCAAACCGCGGGTTGGGTTGTTCATTTCCAGAGCTCTGAAGGTTCACACAAAAGAGCTATAGATTTCAGGCAGAGGAATCAACTGCTTAGAAACTAACTCTAGTCCCCCGAAGAGTTCAAATGCAAGTGAGATAATTACCCTTGACGAAAAGTAAACTTCGAAGGAAATATATGCCTTTCCCCCTCATAAATTAAAAGCCCGCGAGAGAGATTTGAGTATTCAGAGCTGCAGTGCTCTCCTGACCCCCGTCAAGGCGGAGATTACATTATTGTCCGCCACTGCAGAAGGCAGAGGTACCCCTCGAATCGGAAGAAAGACACCTCAGAGGGTATTGACGCTCCTCCAATGATATTCTATTTAGAAGCCTCACAAGCGAGCACCCCAGGCATTTTAAAGATTATCCCCCTAAAGATCTTTGAAGATTATGCTAATGACCGCAGATTACAAGAGTTTACTGCGAGAGCAGAGAAACAAAACCAGCCTCGTGGCGGTCGCCCATGGTAATTTTCCGCCTCTCTTTTAAGATGATTTGCGGCGCCCTCTCCGCGGCTGTTCCCCTCATTAGCTGCGGAGTAAGGAGGGAGGGGAGGGGTGGGCTCCCGCTGCCCCTCTGTGTCTGACGGTATGGGGGGGGCTGCGCCTGTGAGGAAGGGGGCGGGGGGGGCGCCGGGACGGGCAGGGCAGCGGCGGTTGCAGCGGCGGTTGCAGCGGCAGCGGGGCGAGGGCGGCGTGCGAGACCCAGCCGTGCCACCTAGCGGCACCGGACCGCCCTATCCACCGCCGCCGCGCTGCTGCCTTCAGACCCCCGCGGCTGCCCGCCTCCTGCTGCTGCTGCCCGCGGCCCCTCGGTCCCCGCCGCCTCCGCCACCGCGGACGGGCGCAGCAGAACTGCAGCGTGCCCGCAACTGGAGCGAGGCGGAGCTGCAGCCCTATCCGGGAACGATTGCCTGTAAGTGAGAAACAGCAAAATCATGCCGCCTGTCGAAGTGTTCCGCGCGAGGCCTTCCATGTATCGCAGAGGAAAAGGAAATTATCAGCAGCCGAAAGACTTCACGCTGCCCGAGTACTTCCTTCATGCACGCACACCCGTCTTGACCCTTTTACCCCACAAATGTTCATCATGTTGATCGACTGCTAAATAAAGTATAAAAACCCAGTCTCCATCCTGTTTATTCCACCTAACCCATGCCAGTGATACTATTAACTTCTTCCCCGGAAAAAAGCACATTTTCTGATCATGCAAATTATGGGTGGGGACTCGTCATCATGAAGGACATTGTCATTAACATAACGGTAGTGAGC